TCATGCTTCATAGATCCCCATGTTTCACCCAAAATTGCCAAGAGCGGTGAATTTTGGGACACGGGCACCGAGCCGTTTTCCCAACTGTGTAAACAGATTACATTCTGGACCCTGAACTGTTGACCTCCCCTACCAGACAGAAGCTGCTAAAATGTCAGTTAATCACCACGCAGCTCCACAATGGGCTACCCAGAAGCACAAGGCAATTCCGAAGAGCAATTTTCACGTGAAACTGCCGAAGTATGCAATGCAGGCAACTCCTGATGATGGCATATTTTATTTCGATGTAATAAGAGAAAGAGAAACTGTATTTTCTTTGCTTCTATACCAGATGGTATACCCAGAGGAAACAAACACACAGTTTAAAAAAATGCATATTTTCTCTGATTGTTCAATGGAGTTTTTAAATTACTTCCCATGTAAGACAACTTCACATTTATGCCATTTTAAAAAGTGTATAAAGTGCCTCAAGAAACATTATGTGAACAATAACGGGTCAGGATGCAGACAAACAGTGCAGTAATCAGACCCCTAGGTTCCTAGAGAAGCATGAAGCACACTTAGGCGGTCTCTGCTACTGGAGGCTCTAATCGCCCCATCCTAACTTGAGAGACCCCAAGTCAGCCAATAACACTCACCCAACAATGGCAATGTTCTTTGGAAAGTAAACAAACAAACAAAAAATAGGTTTGGCAACCACGCAGGTAGTCATTTTCAGAAAAAAAAAATGAGGAAATACATTTTTTATACATTTTGTTAACTAAAGTTTTAAAAATACAACCTATATTTAAGTGCTCAACACCAGTGTACTGTGCTTTTAATAGAAGAGAAGAGAGAAGCATCCAGAAAGCTATGCTTTCTCAGGGAACAAATAGAGACTGTAGTCTTAAAGTATATTACCCCAAAAAAGTAATACACAGGGATAATGTTAGAATCTATAGGGCTTATTATAGCAACCTGTTCTTAGTAAAAAAAAAAAAAAAAAAAAAAAAAAATTTGAAAAGAGAGATTTTTGCATTTGTCTAATTTCTTGAGTTTTCTACTGCCTTGTTAGGTTTTAAATGTCTAAAAAATAAAGTCTTAGGAAGTTCATATTTACTTATGTATTTAAAGTTTTGCTTTTCAATTCTGGTTACTATTTAAGCTACTATTCCATGCAATTTGCTTTATTTTGTAAAAAAGTAATTGTCCTGGTAGAATGCAATCAACCATGATAGTTTTGTTTTTTAATATGCTGCAGAAGTAACTAAATAGTTTTTGCTAAATTGTTCTCTTTTGCATTTCTTATAGACTTATAACTGGCAAAAGCCATGATCTTCTTGGCCCTTAAGAGACAGTCTTGTTCAAAAGTCTGTGTTCTTAGTTTGTAAAATAGACGTTAATGTTTGTACACTGTATTCAAAAGTTTTACAGTTTTTTATGCATAACTTAGATATTCTAAAGCCGTTACTAAACTAGAAGAATTGTATGACTCCTGTTGGATGGCCTGTTGTACTTCTGCTTATTCATTTTATATTTTACATTAACAGGAGGAAAATTCACCAGGGACAAGAGTTAGAGGGACTGGAAGGGAGGTTTTTAAAGTACCAGACAACGGGTTTCAGCTGCTGTGGCCAAGCACTTTGGAATTAAGACAAGTCGCTGATGGCTTGAAGGTTTTCTTGCCTGAGTATTAAACTCAACAAACACAACAGTGACATGGTAGTACATCTAACTCAAAAGATTGATGTCAACAGAAAACATATGTTGATGAATTCACTTTATATAATGATTCTAAACTAACTCTGATCAATACTTATCTAAAAAGTCCACAAGTGTAAAATTAATTCCTTTGGACAAAAGTATATTTTAATGGATTTGCTGAAAATTTATTAACAGAATTCTTCAAAGTAACTTTATTTACTACTGCCAGAAATAAAATATCAACATCTTAAATGCTTTAAAATAGGTTTCTAAAAATAGTAAAGAATAAGTAGTTTATTCTTTAATTGTTCCTTAGGAGTCACAAAAGTTGTTTCAGTATAAAATAGAAAAATGAAATGAGAATTTCTAAAGTTCAGAAATAATCTTATAAAACTTTTATGTGAAATGAATAACATACTTCCCACTAAGAAGGATTTATACTATGAAGAATAAGATATACATGACATATTAAAACAACTACTTCAAAATAGTCAATATTAATTCAACCAGACTATACTCACGGTACAAACCTACTTTCATAAGTGATATATTCCTGGTTGTGATCAAAATATAGGGTTTTATATATTCTGTGTTCAGTGTAACTTACAAAACCAGTAACCACAATGCCATTAAATAGAATTACATGAGAACTTCTTCCAAATGCCATAGCTGGGATCTTAGAGGGAATATTTCCCTGGATTCAAAGAATTTTGAAGAATTTGAAATCTTTATTAAAATCAAGTAGTATGAAATGTAGCCTACGTTTTACTCTGCTTTGTTGATGAGGGATCTCTGGCATAGGCCACGAGAGGTCCTGCTAAAGATCAAGCGATTTTTCTAAAATTTTGCTGAAGAAAAGTGGACCTTGAAGAGGGAAATAAATACACATCATAACTTTAACTACTACAAGCTTTAGATACGCAGTACTTAGCAATCACATTGAATTTCTCTTTTTCAGGATAATTTTAGAAATACTGCCACATATATTTGTATAAGATTTCCCTCCTTTTCTTTTAGAGAAAATATTAGTAGACATTCTTAAGAGTTCACAAACATAGTTTCCTTCAAGTCTCCAACACACTTGAAAAATCTCTAATATGTCGCCTTTCTCTCAAAAAAGTTGTATCACACATAACTGTGGAGATGTTTATTATAAGTGTGACACACATTCATACCATTGAAGATGATTTTTACACCAACATCTCTAAAACTGGGAAAAAAAAGCAAGTCATTGACACCATTTACTTAATATAAGCATATACTATACAAACTAATTGTTTCTTAAAGAATCAAATAAAACTACTAATGATATTTCAAAATATCAAGGTATTTTATAAGTTAGAAAGCAGTGATGGTGTCAGTTACTTTTATTCTGTGCCCTCCTACACAGGTGAGACTATTTTCAGAATCAAGTATCTTAAAGTGCTATCCTGGCATATTTTCATTTATTGCAGTTCACCAAGAGCATGAACCTTAGCATTACACATGGAAGCGTGATGTCCATTTGCCTGGTGCTTTTTTTGTAAACAGTGATTTGATCCATGGAGGACATAACTAACTTTAAAACACAGTCTCATTCATATGCAATCTCCATGGCTTTTATACCAACGATCAGTTTCAAATAATTCCTCCATTAGCAAAAATCACATTACACAAATGTGCACACTATGCTACTGCTAATTTTTAAAGCCATATTTGGAAAAAAAAATCAAAACCAAGCCAAATATTTAAAAGAAGTGTAGGCAAGGAAAGCAGAGAGAGGGACTTGGATTATCAAATCATCATTGGTTCTTGTATCCTGAACATACATTATAGAGATAAGATGCGGAAAAGAGTAATTTTACTAGAAATCAAAGAGTGATGTTATAGAAAAATGAATGATTTGCACAGTAAAATGGCCTCTTGTTTGTCTTTCCGTATTACTGTGGAATACTAATCTTGGAACACGTAGTGAACTATTCTTGTATCTCTGCAGTTTCTGCTTTCAGTCTCTTCTCTGTACTAGTTGAGGTTCTGAAGTCAAATTTACCGGAATGAATATCCTAAGAATGTTTTATCTCAAGAATTTGAACAGGAAGGTGTATCTTTACAAAACATTTTAAACGAACTATAAAACTTCAGCTCAGCAGTGGAAATATTCTTGTAGGATTAAATGTTTTTCAAATAATAAAGTATGGTGCCAACCAATAAATTAGTAAATACTCTACTGCCTAAATCTCAAATGAATGAATGAGCTGTTAAATTGTTCTTTAGTAAATATCTCTTAATGGGTGCTTTAAATATATTGATTTATCTGGGTTGACACATATTAACAGATTATAGAGTTTATTAGGTAATTGAATGAGTTTTGTATCTATTATGCTTCACTATTCCTGGTGAACAGCTCAATAATACTGGAAATAACAAGCAAATCTTCTAGAAACAAGATATATTATATAAGTGCTTACAGTTTCATTAATTTTCACAGTTTGTTTTCAATTTTCAGAAACTGAATTATCAATTGGCCAAGGAAAGTATTTCAACAAAATGGGTGATGAATGCAAAATACCTTTTAAAGTAAACTGAAAATCAAACTGCTTTCTATAATAAACACTTCCCTAAAAACTGCACCCAAAGAACTTACATGATAGAATTTTTCGTGGTGCTTGGTATATAGCTAACAATTCCTCCAATTATAACAGCATGGTATAGTAAAGAGTCAGAAATCATGAGCATGTTTTATTTCTTTTTCTTCTTAATTTTGCACACTATTATTTTCTTAGCTCTGTAGCAGACATGCCAAAAGCAAGAAGAAAGCTTAGACATGGAATGAAAGACTTTCTGTGTTCTACAGCTAGCTGTCAACTCGCTAAGCTAATTTTCAATGGATTTTTCAAACAGAATAATGTCTCATGGAGACATTCTCCAACTGTCCTGAGTAACTTTTCTGATTTACCTGGTATGATAAGGCCCCTGCACAGACTAACACATTATTGAAGAGGACAATTTTCACATGGTAAAAATGTGTTCAATATTTCCTTAAACTGAAAAAGTCTTCTCGCTCAACAATACTTTCAGCTACAGCTATCACAAATGTTTGGATTGAATACATAAATGGCTCAGCAAAATCACCATGCAAGAAATGAAGCCACTTTCACAATAACACTAGAATAAAGGAAGCACGCACTGGTGTCAAGTCAGCTGAACTGTGACATAACCAAGGTGACACATTATTTCGGAGGAAGTCTCCTCGTGCAGCCACATCATTGCGAACAGTGGGAACTGTCAGTATGGCACGTGCCATTTCTCCACAAGGTACGAGGGCCCTTCAGTCTTACCTGCACATTTGGTTCTGGTGATTAGTGGAGGTCCTGGCAGCCCTGTTCCACCTTCCCCAGGTCTCGTCAGGAGGACACGGATCTCATATTCCGTGTCGGGGTCTAAATGCCACAATTTGTAAGTGGGAGCGTTCACCGCATGGGTTTCTGTCCAGGATCCTGATGTCATCCGATATTCCACTTCTTTCAGGATAATGGGCCCGTCGCCAATGATAGAGTTGGCATTCAGCTGAATCAGCAAATAAGTCGGCCCAACACCCAGCAGCTGGGGAGGAGCAATGGGCCTTGGTGGTTCTAGAACAGAAGAGCATGCACTGTAATTAGACTCAAAGCATTATTAACAGGTGACTACATGTCTCTTAAAGCCTAAACGCTTAGTGGATGACTCATGTAAGAGTGGATATAAGGAACACCAGGGTAAGAGTGGTCTGGCCAATGTACTTTTAAGAGCAAATGCTTTCCTGGAGGCTATGATCATTTTAGCACAAGTTTTCTTCCATGAATTGTATGCCTCAGTGGGAGATTAACTTGAGAAGGTATAGTAAACAAAGCACAAAAAGAAAAAGTATTTGTAGATGAAAAACTCTCATTAGCTACTAAGTTTAGAGCTGATGTCTTACTATTTTGTTCCATTGATGAAAAATAGCCAAGCGGTCCTTTCCATTCTGTTCTTGCTTTGTTTTTTTTCTCCTCCAGAGTTCTTGCAGATAAGTGAAGGAGAAAGTCTCTGCGAAGGCCCACAGGAAAGTCAGGGCTGGGTACTGACCTGTCCCTATACACCCATCTCACAGTGCGAGAAATGGAAATTTACCCATAGGTAAAATCACCAATGGCTACCTATCATTGGCCGTTGGGAGCAGCACAGGGTGAGACAATCTGTCACAAATCAAATGAATGTCAGAGGTACAAGGCAAGGTAACTTTTGATGGCTTAAGATGTTTTGCTTGCAAGAAATGTTGGGAAACATTATTTTAATGTTTGAATTGATAGAAATGGTGAACAATGTAAGACAGCATTGGCTACCACTAACAAGAATTAAGAGCAGTGAAAATTGGAATTTTATGAAGGATTTCACAGCTTGAGCTCTGCCTATGTGTTCTGCTCCCAGGGACTGTTAAGTCGTGGGGTAGTCATTAGTACAATGGGTTGAGTGGGGGTTTTCTTTGAATATGTGCAACACTTCTCGCACATTTCAGGGAAGTTCAAGTGCTTTAAAAGGAAAGTGCTTTTCTTTATAAAGTAATTGCCCCTAAATTCACTTAAAAATTATTTTTCAGATTAAGCCAATCACATAAGAGGAAACCATTGAAGACAAGCACACGCTACCCTCAGCTCACCCATCCCAGGCAGAGATGGACTGCAAAAGACACAGGTAGAGGGGAGTCAACAATATGCAGCCAGTGCCTTTCAAACACAATTTTCTATTTAGTGGCAATGCACTCCACATGAAAATAAAAATGCAATGCTGAGAAATTAAATCCACAGAGAGGTTTTACCTTCTCATAGAGATTTAAATGAAATAAGATTTTTCAGCTGGACCTGAAGATTTGGTTTTTAATTATACTTTCACAAACATTACTTGCATAAAAACCCTGAATTAGAAACATCTCTAACCTTGTTAACCTCAATCTCTGCACAGACTAAGAGCATTTTTAAGAATATTTCTTCAAAGGTCACAGGGAAATTGCTTATTTAGTAACTACTAATTGCTACCATATTCTATAGGATATCCATATTTTGAGTATCCATATAATATTGTGGGGATGAAATGGTTACAATAAATCAATAAATTCATTATTTTAAACTGACATTTATATGAAAAATAAATAGTACATTGTGGTAAATGGAAACAGATGTAACACAATATTTTACCCTCCAAAAATACTTGAAAATATTTCATTTAAATAATCATGGCTCATTAAGGCAATAGCTAGCAAACTAGCAATTAAAAGAATAAAACAAACTAGTAGTTAATTATATTCATGTTTAAGATGAAAATAAAACTACCATCAAAGAAGATAACATATGTTATATAAAATGGATATGTTTAGAATTATTTCCATGGAAAAGAGTTCTCAACACCTGTTTTATAAACTTTAACTGTAAAATGTTTTCTATAGCTTTGTTAATTGTTTCAAACAATATGTAGTTGAAACTGTTTTCTAGATGAAGCAGTTCCAGTTTCAAAAGTGAATGCAAAGAAGTTAGCTCAAAAGGGGAATGTAAAACAAAACCATAATGGCTTAGAATTTTCCTTCATCCTCTAGTAAAAGACTCTATGTATTTCATACCCTCAAATTTTATCAACTAGTCTAACTTTTACAGTCACAGTTTACAAAAGCCACAAAGTTTATAAAAGTTTTCATAGAGAGAAACTAAAATGAAGTTGAGTACAGAAATGAACTTAATGGAAAAAATGCAAATGTCTTCTCAGACTCTCCAAATGTTGCGCTTATTTTGAAAAGCAGTCTGTATTTGTGAATAAACCAAGTTGCCTCATCTTTGCAATGTGTCTTTTCCTTCCAGATGGTTCACACACTAATTTAAGCTCCAGCAGGAAACAATGCTACACTGAGAGCTTGCTGGGCTTTGACTCACAGTAACAATGCCACACTACTTTAGAGATCAACAATGCCCTGCACTGGTTGATCTGACACTGAGTGTGAGGAAAGAACAAGGACAATATACCAAACACATTGTGAATAATAAGCCCTGGGCTGAGGGAGAAGTTTACGGGCAGCCTGACACGTGGCCTTCGGTAAGACCATTGAATGCTGGCTCTCACTCCTCAAAATCCTACACTCCTATCACAGAGACCAAGAGCTCACGAAAGAGTCGAAGAAGGAAAGAAATAGTTATAGAAACCACAATACAAGAAGTAAGTATTGTATTTCACCTGGTATGTCTCTCTATGAGTAAAACAAAATTTGAAAACAGAAGACCTAGTTTAAAAGCACACATGTAGAGAAAGAACAGGGTACATCAAAATACGTTATTTAACTCAGATTTACAATTTCATCATTAGTAAATAAGGCACTATTTGAAGAAGTTTAAAGACTGGATGTTTCTAATGCCACAGTGAACTCTACCTGTGGTGCTATTTTGCTTTGTTTTCATCTTTGCCAGTATGCACATAAATTTTAAAACCAGAAATTAATATCCACCATTAGTTATGTGTCAAAGAAGAAATGAGTGTGATGTAAAAATGTCCCTTGTCCTGAAGAATAACAGTAATGTCTCTCTGATGAGTTTGACACCTTGCCGGTAATGGTTGGACAGAGAAGGGGGCAGTTCAATAATCAAAGTTGTAGCTCAAATCATGAACAGCGGCAGTGTTTAAAGGGGGTGGGACCCATGTGCCTTGATTAATAGCAGTATGATGGGAAGTGAAAGTCACATTAATGAGACTAATGTAGCACTATGTATTAAGATTTTTCTGTTGGAGACAAAATAAGTAGCCTTACATTAGCATGTATATTTTGTTTCCAAACCCTTGAGTACAAGGAGGTTTATTTATAAAATCTCTATTCATTTAAATAAAGTATGCATGAATTTTAATCAGTTAGCAAATGAACAAGTAATTGTTTTGCAGCAATATTAATATTCTTCCAAACTTAATACACTATCAGACCCCGAGGTGTGGTATAAATAAATCCCAGTTGTATACTAGGTAGCAACTGAACCATGCAATCCTCAAAATACAAGATAAACTTTGCCAGTTAACTTTCAATTAATGGCTTAAAGCCGTCATTCTAAAGCCACCCTATTATAAGATCCCAGTTACATATTCAAATTGCTTTGTTTTTACATTTCAGATAACTTTGAAAAGTGTCTTGAAATCCAGTAAATCATTATGAAAGCGTAGTGTCATTCAATTAGTTCTATGATAATAGAATTTTACAAACATGTGTCTCTTATCAAAATCCAGCTAATCAATAAAATACAAAATCAGAAAGAAAAGCCAGGGAGCCAGGAAATGTCAGTAACACAGTAAATGTCAAGGCAAATAACATTTCCACATCCATCTTTCCAGTGAGATAAATGAAACACCTCTCAATCCTATCTCCTTCCTAATTGTTTTATTTATCTGCTAAAGAGGGCTTGACATCAAGAATCCTAAATTTAATCCTCCGGGATGGAAGCAGCCAATAACATTAGATTGACCTTCCGCGGCTGCTGTCACGTATTCTTACAAAACAAAACACTGTTCTCTCTCAGTTTTTGAATCCAGAAAACCAAAATCAAGCGACAGCAAACCCTATGATTTCTTGAGGAATGAGGTAAAAATCAGTGCCTTGCTTCTTCGACTTCAATCTCCTAACCATACTTTGATTACTTTCCCTTCTGCCTTCTTTCCAGTCTCTCCTGGTTTTCCAATCCAGGGGTCCCTGGTGGTAGGCATTAGGCCCAGCATGGGCAGTTGCAGATGCTCTGTTATGTTTATATCTAGATGTCCCTCCTGGACCCAGCACTCTTGGGAAGTGACTGGTTCAGTCCACTGATGAGCTTACAGCCGGTTTGCTTTTAGGAAAGGGGGCATGGGTCAGAAGAAGTGTGTCCCTGCGGAGTGCCTGGAAGGATTTGCATCTTCCTGGGTCTTCCCTTCACTTGCTTCTGATCCCAGCACTATGCCATCATCCACTTTTCTGCCAGGTCCCTCTGCCATGCTGTGCTTCCCAGAGCCACCTGACTACTGACTGCAACCTCTACAAGCTGTGGGGCACAGGAAACCTTTCCTGCTTCAAGCTGTAGGGAAAAGATTGCGTCTCAGTGCTAAGAAAGTAAGACACTCACCATTTCAAATTCTTTAATGCAATCACATTTACACAGATTAGTTCGCCATACAAGGTAACATGCACAGGTTCCAGAACCTGACATGTTTGGTGGTAGGGGCACTTTTTATCCCAACACAGACACTGACTAAGACCCCATCAGTCCTCCTGGGATATGGCTGAGTTCTACTTTTTTCCAGTTAATAAGAAGCTTGGGAGTAGAAAATGCCTCACTTGAGTAAGTTTTCTAGCTAGGTTCAAAGTACTGCAATTATAAAAGAGCTTAACATTTCGTTTGTGTTATGATTTATTTTTACTATTTGCTGAGAAAGGAAATGAACAGAGATGGTAAACATTGCAATGGCCATGAGAGTTGATGCTCTTTGCCTTAGACAAATTCCTACAAATTTCAACTTTGGAATATTTTCCACAGACACCAAGACAGATTGTTTCCCTAATTTTTCCCCATTTGTCTACATGAAAGAATTACTTATTTACTTAGTATTCCCCTTAATGAAAATT